AATGGATCCGGAGGAACTTCACTTGTGAGGATAGACTGAAAAACTTGACATTTGCCTTCTCTTCTCACTTGCCCTCAATGCTAGGGACTCTGGTACAAAGCGGTCACTGTGAACTTAGAGGGTGGTGAATATGTGGAAGTCTTTACTGCAAAGGGCTCACAAGTTATTCAAGACTGAGACAGACAGATTTTTAACCAGTAAGGAAATGAAAGGTTATGAGGGAAAGGCAGGAAAATGGAGTTGACGATTATCAGATCTCCGTCAATGGCAAAGCAGACTTGATGGGCTAAATGGCCTACTGCTGCTCCTTGACCGCGTGTGATCTCAAGGAACCCTACCAGTCTAGGATCTAACCATCACCCCTTCACATTCATTGGCATTAACATCACCAAATTCCCCATCAACTTCCTGAGAGTTACCATTGACCAGAACCTGAAATGGATTGAACATATAAATACTATGCCTATAAAATCAGGTTAGAGGCTAAGCATACTGCAACAAGTAGCTCATCTCCTGACTCCACAATGCCTGTCCATCATCTACAAGGCACAAGTTGAGACTACATTGGAAAATTGTCTGGATGAGTGCAGTTCTAACAATCCTGAAGAAGAACATGCAAGAACATTCAAACCCTCCAGGATAAGTAGCCAATTTGATTGGTACTATATCCACAATCATTCACTCCATCTACCACAGATAATCTGTAACAGCAGTGTGTACGCTCCTCTGATAGTGCCTTCCAAACAGATGATCACTGCCAGCTAGAAGGATGGGGCATCTAATGCATAGGAACACCATCACCTGCAAGTTTTTGTGAGGTGGGCCCAGTGGCGAGAGATGCGACTCTGATGTTGATGGATCCAGCGCAGGCAGCAGTGAGGCGATGGTGGAAGAGAATCGGCCCAGTGGTGAAAAATGGCACCTGAAGAGCGGCAACTTCAACACTGGTTGAGTCCGGTGGAGACGCCGGTGAGGGGCTGGAGGAAGGATGGTGGTGCAGGTGTTGTTGATGATGAGCTGGCTCAGGAGTGATTAACTCTCTTTAAGTCGTATCTTTCTTTAATTTTCTTATTCATGAACTATTCAAAATAGTACCTGATCATGGCGACAATGGAAAAGCTTTTCACCGTATTTTACTGTTTTTCCCACTGACATGTGACAAATACATGTCACAATAAAAGCATTCATACATTTTTGTCCATGTTATTCATTATCCTGACATGGAAATATATCGCAGTTCGTACTACTTTGTGAAGTCGAAGTCCTGCAACTCCTGCATTACAGCAATGTGGGAGTATCTACACCACATTGATTGTAGTGGTTCAGGAAGGCAGCTCATTAACATCTTCTCAAGCGCTATCAGCAAGGAGTAATAAATGCTGGTGAGCCAGCCTAAGCCCACATCCCATGAATGATATCCCTGTATAACTGATGCATAGCCTTCCAACTTTTGCAATCAATTCCTCACATAATAAATGACAGCATTCAGAATTACTTGCTGTACTTCCATATTAACCTTTTGCAATTCGTACACTGGATCACCCAGATTCCTCTGTACCTCAGAGCTCTGCAATCTCTCACAATTTAGCTAATATGTTTCTTTACTTTTCTTCCTGCTACAATGGACAATTTTACATTTTCTCACATTATACTCCATTTGTCAAAATTTCCCCAGTCACTTAACACTTCTATAATTTTTTTTGTAGTATCCAAATATCCTCTTCATAATTTCCTTTCTGGTCCATCTTTGTGTTATCAGCAAATTTAGTAACCATATCAATGTGAACTTTCATCCAAGTAACGTATAATTACAAGAAATTGAGACCCAGCACTGATCCCTGTGGTCCACCACTTGTTACATCTTGCCAATAAGAAATAGACCTATTTTTGCCTTATCTCTGTTTCTTTGATTTGGTATGATTTATTACAGTCACGTGTACCGAGGTACAGTGAACAGTGCTGTCTTACGTGTTTTACAGGCGTATTGCACTATACAATTGTGTCAGGGTAAGAGAACAGAGTGCAGGATACAATGTTACAGCTGCCGAGAAGATGCAGACAGAGATCAACATTAACATTTAAGAGGCCCATTCAGAAGTCTGATAACAGCGCGGAAGAAGCTATTCTTGAATCTGCTCATACGTGTCTTCAAACTTTTATATCTTCTGTCTGATGGAAGAAAGTATAATTGGGTCTTTGTTTATGTTGGTTGCTTTCCCGATGCAACAGGAAGTATAAATGAAGTCAATGGATGGGTTCTGTCAATTGATTATCATCAATTCAGCTGCTTATTTTCTACAATAATCTTTGATGTGGCACCTTATCAATTATTGGAGGCATTATTTGCTATAATGACTAAAAGGTTGCGTATACATCTGGAGTTTAACATAATACAATTAATTTAGTACAACCAACTGACAATGGTAAAATGACGGTTCAGTAAAACAGTGTATATATTCTAGTCCTGTTAATTACAATTTGCATTTGCTTGAAAAATAGTTAGATTATCCAGTAATTTAAATTCAGAAACTGTTAAAAACAGGAGCCATTTAGCACTAAATAATAGTTTAATCAAAAGATAATTCATATTAGGCAAGAGTAGACTATTTTTACATTTATTCTTACAAGACTTTTTATCCTTTTCACTGAAGCATTAGCCAACAAAAATGATTTGACATAAAATATTATTTTACAAATCTACATTTTAAAAATGTAACTAAATGTTTTTAATGAGCATTTAAATTTAGAACTTAGCATATTGACAGTGGCACAATCTTTACTCTGGATTTTTCCTCAGAGTCCCAAGCCCACCCAGAGGGGAAACAATTTCATCTTCAGGGCACTCACCTAACTGAAATGGAGACAGATTCCTCCAACCAATTATGGATGTGGATGGACTTATGAAGCTTCAGGCCCAATTAGTGGTATGTAAGAAGGTAAGTAAGACATGCTGCTTAAAGATAGAAGCATCATCTTTTCAACATTTTAAAATCTTGAATTAAAAATAGATTTAACTGGCAGCCTACAACATGAAGGCAATCCTTTTGCAGGCTATTGGTGGCTTATCCAAATGCAAGATGGCTATCACCTTGAAGGACAAGTGCAGCAGATGCATGGGAACACCACCTCTAAGCTCCCATTTGAGCCAAACACCATCCTGTAGTGCAACTACATCGCTGTTCCTTCGAAGGTGCTTGGCCGAAATTCTGGAATTCTCTTCCTAGCAGCACTAAGGGTGTTCTTACACTTCACAGACTGCAGTAGTACGAGAAGTCAGCTCACCATCAGCATCTCCAGGTCAAGTATGCACAGGGCAATAAATGCTGACCCTGCCAGCGATGCCCACATTCCGTGAACTAGTAAAAAAAAATGGCAGGCCTGCATAGAGTGCTGGTTCCCTAACGTGCCAGCTCCAGTTACCTAAAATGATGCTAGTTCAGGAACTGGGAGGTTGAATAGAACTTTCCTCTAATTTCTTTCAGTTAGGCTCTCAATGAGTCTGATTGGTTACCCAGTGCATGTGAGCAGGTAGCTTTGTTGGCCTCTGCAAAGTTGACCTAGTGGGGTTACGAAGCCACGGAAGGATATACACAATGAATGGTTGAGCCCTAGGGTGTACTGAGGAACCAAGGGACCTTGGTGTACAAATCCATAGATCCCTGAAGGTGTTAGCACAGACAGACAGGCTGGTGACATACAGGATGCTTGCCTTCATTAACCAGGGTGCAGTATATAGGAGCAAAGAAGTCTTGTTATAAAACATTGGTTAGGCCACTGATAGAATACTGTGTGCAGTTTCTGATCACCACATTATCAGAAGGACATCTATGACTCTAATATTCAGTCTAATCTGCCTTCAATTCTTCCCCCAGCCCTGGAGGCAGAAAATCTAATCCTTTACATGGTGCATACTGATATAATTAAGAATCTAAAATCAACATCCTTAACTTACAATAATTTTATGGTGTTGTGACTAATCCAGTGAATAAAGCTCTGGAAATTCATTGTTATCCCTCTTATGTCCTTCATTTAACTTGACTGGGCTCTGATCATTTTACCTTTCTGTTTAAAACTTTGTAGCCATTGTATCTGAGAACTCTAATATTTCAGCTAAGTGAAGAAAAATATATAACAAAACTTAAATTAATTTTCTTCATGAATAAATTTTCTGAAAGAAAGTACGAAGATAATGGGAAATATGTTTTAATGGCTTAATGGTTAAAGAGTCTGTGCTGTGCAATACTAAGTCATACAAACAAAATGTTTTAGATTTATTTGTGGTCCATATTTATCTCAAGGGAATCAACAGTTCTCCTCACAAGCCTTGGAATAGGAAGTAGAAAAAAATTTACTCTACCTGCTATCTGCTGGCACAAATAGCTTTGCTTACAGATAATAACCATGACTCAAGGGCTGCTGGCACCATGGCACTTTATGCAGCAGGAATCAGTGTCTTCAAATGTGTTGAAATAAAAGAAGAGGAAGGAGTGAAATAGCATCTGTAAATAAATTAAAGCTTTTCTTTTGCTTGCATGTTGAGACTAGCTCAATTGTTCAAATTGCACAAACGAATTTCTGCTTTGGAAGGATCAGTGAGCTGACTTTATCTTGCAATATTTTGAATTTGATTTTTCGAAATGTTTTACAAACCTGACTATAAATCAGAAACATTGATGCAAATTCACATTGAAAATCAACATAAATTTCATAATTATAAAAAGTGTTTCTCAATTTCAACTTAATGAAATTTGTAGTCTCTTATATTAGCTGATATGACAAAAGAAAACATGTACAAGAAAAATGAAACATACAGTGATTATGTTTGTTGAATCTGGATGCAACCTGTTAATGCAATCGTTATCTCTTGTGTGGATATATAGGTGCACTATGAATCTTGTAAAATAACTGCAGATGTGGAAAATTCAGTACATAGTTCTAAATGCTGTAATTTTCTTAAAAATTAGAAATAATCAAGTATTAGAGAGTTTTACTTTCCCCACCTGAAAACCTTGGATTCTGGCTAAGTACTCTAGTTGTTGAGAGGGCTGTACTGCTGAACAGGGGGATGCAGATACTTTTCCTTTCAAGCTTATAGCTTCTGCAGTTGGGGATGTTCCATTCAACAGAAGTTCCCTTGCAATGGTCGCTGTATTGCTGGTAGTGCTGAAGAAGGAACTACATCCATGGTTTATTTCTTTAGACGTCAAACAGTTCATTGCAGGAGCTGCCTTGTTGCGACTTGCTTCCATTTCTTGATAAATATCAGGGGAAAGATGCAGAATTCCCTTTTGGGCTGAAGATCGAACAAGATAATAGTCATATTATTACAATTTTCCAATGAACTTGTTGAATTTCGAATAATTGGCTTTACAGATTTATCAACAGCAAGGGAGTACAAAAAACAAACCAGAACACAGAGGCTAATTTAAAAAATATCCAGGTAACTTAGTAAGTTCTATAATCTAAATTTATCATAATTTAAACAAAAACCTGGAAGGTTTGTTCTTTACTGTAGTACTAAAATTGTAGTTTTAACTTGTTATTTCTCCAATATGTCTTTTCTCTGATTTCATTAAATTTGTGTTGTGTGTTGCAATTCTTTGGTTAACTTCTTTGGTTCTGGGGTACTGCGCTTAAGAGAAAATAGGAGCACAAGTAGGCCATTCTGCCCTTTGAGGCTGCCCCACCATTCAATATGATCATCGCTGATCCTCTAATTTATTGCCATATTCCTGCTTTCTCTCCTTTACCCTGATGCCTTTAACTTCAAAATATTTATCAATTTCTTTCTTTAATACACTCAGTGACTCGGTCTCCGCAGCCTTTTGAGATAGCGAATTCCACAGGTTGACCACCCTCTGAGTGAAGGAACGTTTCCTCATCTCAGTCCTAAATGACCTACTTTATATCCTGAGACTGAGACTACTGGTTCTAGACTCCACAACCAGAAGAAACATCCTCCTTAAATCTAGTCTGCTGGCTTGTTAACATTTTGTATGTTTCAATCAGAAAGCCTCTCATTCTTTAAAACTCTAGTGAATACAAGCCCAGTCGAACTAATCTCTCCTCATATGACAGTCCTGCCATCCCCGGTATCAGACTAGAAAACCTTTGCTGCACTCCCTCTGTGGCAAGTGTATCCTTAATTAGCTAGAAAGGCCAAAACTGTGCACAATGCTTCAAGTGCAGTCTGACCAAGGCCCTGTAAAACTGCGCTGAGACATCCCTACTTCTGAACTTAAATCATCTTGCAGTAAAAACCAACATACCATTTGCCTTCTTAATTGCTCACTGCATCTGCCTGTTTACTTTCATTCACTGTTGTACAAGGACACCCAGATCCCTCTGTAGATCCACATTGCCCAATATACTACAATTTAAATAATGCTCTGCCTTTCAGTTTTTCACACTGGAAGTGAATAACATCATATTTTATCCACAATATACTGCATCTGACATGCTTGCCCACAAACTCTTCTTGGCTAGATCACCCTGAAGACTTCTTGCATCCTCCTCACAACTCACAATCACACCTAGCTTTGTGTCGTGTCTGTCTGTTAATTTGACTTCCTGAAACACAGAAATTTCTTTGATTTAAGTAACAAATAAATACACTATTTCATGTTCCATTAATCTAATTATATAGATGTTGATTATAACAACACATTCTGATTATTATATATGAGAAGACGCAGGACACCACTGGATCGTAAAACAGCACATCTTTGGCTAGGGTAGAACTTCGCCAATTTTCATCCCATTTATTTTAGTTGGATGAAACTTAAACAGGTGACCCCTTCCACCAGTTTACTGCCTGAGCAGTGAAGTGAAAAAATCCACATGGTATTCTTTAACAGTTGTTGATGCTAGGGTCACTAATGACTGAAAAATAACTAAATTAAAGCTAGCACTCTATTAAAAAAATATGTTTATGGTCTACCTTACTGAATGTTCCTGCAAATATTAGTTAAAAACTAAATCCAGGTACTTTATTATTCTGTTACAGGTGTCTGCTGTCTATGAGGTAATAACTGGCCTGTACCAGCCTCTAAAGAGATCAGTAAGCCTACGCTGCAGGCAAGATGAGTCAGTCACAGGGGGATTATTTACTCTATGTCAGTTCATCACACATAGCCCACCCCATTCAACATTCTAGGAAAAGAATGTATGCAGGGCCAGGTGGAAATTTCAATCACAATGTTACATAATCAATGACAGAACTTAATCAGAGAGTCATTCTTCTGTTACATTTAATAAAGCACACTGTTGTTATAAAGTTGCATCTTTCTGTGCATTACATGGAAACAAAGCTTCAGAAATTGTTAAATTTTGCCCACAATGGATCTCCATACCTTTTCAAAACAGTGCTATGTTAATAGGTATTGGTACAAAGCCATGTTACGCACTTTCTGAAGCCACAAGATACCAAAAAAATTTATACTATAGGCTTATCCCACACGTTTAACATTAGGAAGAAGAAACAATGTTCATTTTTCTTTCTCTACTAAGGCTTAACAAATTCATTTATAATTACTACATAATTACTACATAAGCTACCATGTGAATTGCTACAACAGCCCAATTTGTTGCTCGCTCATAAAAGCAACTAAATGTTATGAATATTTCACAATTTCCCTAAAGTTCTTTTCACAGCAGAAAAGAATGGTCTGTACAGAAACAGTGATTTGATCATAACTGAAAAAATGCAGGGAGGAGACAATCATTGACTAAAATGTCAACAATATTGATGCAACTTTTTTTTAACTATAATGTGATAAGGTAACTAAGATCACTGGATTGTTTCTCACCTTCAACAGATGTCCTTTTTACACTTGAGGTAGACAATGCTATCACTTTCATGCTGTGACCTTGTAGATCTAGAGACGTATTTCAGAAAATGTGGCAAGCTTGATTGATCTTTATTGCATGTGTGGCTACTCTTGCTTTTCAAGTGATAAAAACCATTGAAATTAGTTTTCGTGGGCATGTCAAAATTTGATTACTTCCACAAAAATTTCAGAAGTCCCCATTTCCACAATGTCACCAGCCATTTCTGCCAGCATTATTTTGAAATAAAAGCATACCAGATTCCAGACCTTCCGTCTTTCCCACCTAATTAACAATGGCTAGAGGTGGAAGCAGAGGAGATCTAAGGAACAGTTGGATCTTGGCAGCCGCTTTTTTTACAAACCTGACCCCAGCACAGTATCACAAAATGTCAGCCTCTGAAATTCTTTTTGTAAGCGCACCAAAACGCCTCTAAACATCAACATTTACAAGTTTCATGCGTTTTTAAGGTATTTGGGATTTTTACTCTTCCTTTTTTTAGTAATTAGTCTAACACTCCCTACATTATACTCTAATTACCACCTTGTTTCCCACGCTCAATCTTTCTATAACTCTTTGCGGACTCTTTCTGTCCTCACAGTTTACATTCCCGTTTAGCCTTCTTCCATGAAAAAACTTACATACAACGGGTGGAATTTTCCCAGCATTTGAATGACATGAGCAACGGCAAGAGACAGAAAATATGGCAAGATGAAAAAGTCCAATTTTCGATATTGAGAAAAAGATTCAAATTTCTCTGAAGTTTTCAATGGCCAGCTGTGTATCTTGCTAGTAAGCAGTGGCTACCTTCTCTCCATACATTCACATTTCATTATTAGCTAATCTCACCCCATTTATATGTAGTTTGTGAATCTCCCATGCACTGCTGAGAAACTAGATGGCACCAATTCCCAGAGATAATCTGAAAGATGCAGCTTAATGGTTGCTTCTATGGGCCTCAATTTAAGATCCATTCACCAGTATCTCATTGCATACTCCAAAGGCAGTGACCACCTCGATTGTTTGTCTGCACAAGTTGGCAGCAGCAAACACCACTCTCACTACATCTTCATGGTTGATCTTTACAAACTCACAATACACTTCATCATTGCACTTTGAAGCTTTTGGTCACCTTACAACGCAATGGCCCTGCCAGGTCTATTTTGCACACAGAGGCAGATACCCATCTATGTATCTGTAAAAAATACAATTTATAGCTCTTAGCTTGCTTTTGTAGTACCCACTCACTTTGTGCCTGCTTTGATGTTCACAACAACTGATTTATGCCTTGCCTTTTTGTACATTGCTGCTTCAATGAGAACTCACAGGGTAACAGCATCTCTGATTTGCATTACTTATTAGCACACACAGAGATCTGGGCAGCTTGTCAGGGTTTCCTGCGCTGAATTGTCAAGTGGGTGGACATGTTGCTGTGTGCCACAGTGTTACATCAATGTTACAGGATGTGCCAGCAGTTTCTGCGGCAAACAAACTGTACATGGTTCAAGCAAATGGTTCTGTCTGAACATCAATATCTTAGGGAATGAAGGGGATCTGTGATCAGTCAGAGGGTGCCATAACACTCAGTCAAGGGGCTCATGTGATGTTAATCCAGGGGGCTGGCCATAGTCCCTCAAGCGCTTAGTATGACCAGGGTCCAGGATCCACATCCTTGCAGTCCAGGGATTAGGCTACAATCAGTCCCGCAGGTCAAGTCCAACTGGTCTACAGGACCACAGGTAAGTCAGTCAAGAAGCTGTAGAAATGTCAGTCAGGCACCAGGATGTAATCAGTTAATAACAAAAACAGATATTTCTGGAAAAGCTCAGCAGGTCTGGTAGCATCTGTGGAGAGAAATCAGAGTTAACATTTCAGGTCGTGTGACCCTTCCTCAGAACTGTCAATCCAGGGGCAAGAACATCGTTTGTAGGTTAAACATCAAGGGGGTTTAAAATGGGAAGCCGCACAATGGAATCGAAAATGAGGAACACAAGTCTCGGGATAGGCTGCATTATGCTGTGGTTCTGATGGAATAATAATAGTGAAGGGACAACTCTAAATATGAGTGGAGTCTAGGGTAGTGTACAATTGCAAGTCACCATCACCCTGGTTTAAATGGGAGGATTTTTGAAGCTGATGGGATTGACAGAGTCACCAACAGAAAATGGAACATTAAGTATGGTGAAGGAATCTTGAATGTCAGGGACAGAGTCCACTAATGTGGAAGTCATTCACAGCAGCATTACCAGAATAGCATGCCATATACACCCAAACCCCAAGTAAGGAACATAACATTGGCTGCTATCCGGGATGCTACTTAGAAATGAACAACACCTTACTAATATAACTGTTTTCTTTCTTGTGATGTATGAAAACACTGCTCAACTCTGACATAGTAGCCATGTGACCAGGGCCTATAGTTAAAATGACAGTCAATCAGACATTTGAGGTTTGCAAGTGCATGTA